GACCAGCAGTCATGACTAAAGCAAATTCACTATGTATATATACATATATACAGAATGTTAAGGGATGGAAGAATTACATTTCTCCAACAGGCATTTATCTGAAATTCTTATCTGAATGTTTGATTAATATAATTGTCCCTGTTTTGAGGGAACAAATCTAGACATCTGTCAAATGATATAACCAGTTGTCTACAGTATTTGAGATGTGAAATTTCAAAACAAACTCTCTTGAAATTTTTTATAGTATTAATTTGATATGTATAATGAAAATGCATTACAACTTGTATGTTAGGAAATATTACTGCAATTTACACCTGTAAATTTAACATGCACAGTGTGATATTTATTATGTTACCCATTCAATATGTCATGGAGACTTAATGAGAATTTCTTTTTTATGTATAATCTTGAATACAACCTGGCCATAGAGATGAAATCAGTAAATCTATTTTTATGACTTTCCAATAGTAGACCTATAACATATTCTTACTTTAAACTGAATGTAGTTTGTAAAGGTTGTGTTGTAAGGCATGTTCCTCTTGCTTTTGAATACGATTTAAATTGAAGTTTAAAAATATCTCACATCGGGCCCAGCGCAGTGTCTTATGCCTATAATCCCAACACTTTGGGAGGCCAAGGCTGGCAGATCACAAGGTGAGGAGATTGAGACCATCCTGGCAAACACGGTGAAACCCTGTCTCAACTAAAAATACAAAAAAAAAATTCAGCTGGGTGTGGTGGCAGGTGCCTGCAGTCCCAGCTACCTGGGTGGCTGAGGCAGGAGAATCACTTGAACCGGGAGGCGGAGGTTGCAATGAGCGCAGATTGTGCCACTGTACTCCAGCCTGGGCAACAGATTGAGGCTCCATCTCAAAAACAAACAAACAAAACCCCTCACATCCATATGTCACAATTGTTAAGGGAATATATATGTTTAGATTTATACACAGGAATATTCAGTTGTATATTTAATGTATAAATAGGTGTGAATAAACTTCCAAATTAGTTATAGAATTAGAAACTAGATGCAGAATTGTATTCCTTGAGGAAAATTTTGGATCTTCAGAAAAAGCCTAGTTTTTTTTTAATTGTTGTTGTTTTTGAGACAGATTCTCACTCTGTTGCCCAGGTTGGAGTGCAGTAGGGCCTTCTTGGCTCACTGCAATCTCCTCAATTCTCCTGCCTCAGCCCTCTGAGTAGCTGGGATTACAGGCATGCACCACCACACCCAGCTAATTTTTGTATTTTTAGTAGAGACGGTTTCACCATGTTGGCCAGGCTGGGCTCGAACTCCTGACCTCAGGTAATCTGCCCACCTTGGCCTCCCAAAGTGCTGGGACTACAGGTTTGAGCCACTGTGCCTGGCAAAAGCCCAGTATTCTTTTTTTTTTTTTTTGAGACAGCCTTGCTCTGTCACCCAGGCTGGAGTGTAATAGTGTCACGGCTCATTGCAACCTTTTCCTCCTAAGTTCAAGTGATTCTCCTGCCTCAGCCTCCTGAATGGCTGGGACTATGTAGTAGAGACGGTGTTTCCCCATGTTGACCAGGCTGGTCTGGAACTCCTGATCTCAAGTGATCCGCCTGTCTTGGCTTCCCAAAGTGCTGGCCTGAGCCCCCATGCCAGGCCTCAGTATTTATTCTTGATATAATCGTTTTGTTTTGTTTGAGACAGAGTCTCTTTTTGTCACCCAGGCTGGAGTTCAGTGGAATAATCTTAGTTCACTGCAACCTCCACCTACTGAGTTAAAGTGATTCTCCTGCCTCTGCCTTCATAATTGTTGGGATTATGGGCATCTGCCACCATGCCCAGCTAATTTTTGTATTTTTAGTAGAGACAGGGTTTCACTGTGTTGGCCAGTATGGTCTCGAACTCCTGACCTCAGATCATCCGCCTGCCCAGCCTCCCAAAGTGCTGGAATTACAGGCCTGAGCCATCGCACTGGCCTTGATACAGCTTTTGAAATATTTTAGGGTATATGCATTTCTGAAATTTATTAGGGTGATGCTTAATGTTAAAATGTCTTTCCCTTAGAATAAACCAAGATGTCATAGGCCCTTTCTTCCACCCATTTCAGTGTTGATTAGGTTGTCTGTGAATTGAAGGGTTAGTAAATAAGCAATCAAAAATGAAGCTGCCGGCTGGGTGCTGTGGCTCATGCCCATAATTCCAGCACTTTGGGAGGCCAAGGCAGGCAGATCACTTGAGGTCAGGAGTTCGAGACCAGCCTGGCCAGCAAGGTGAAACCCTTTCTCCAACAAAAATGCAAAAATCACCCAGGGTTGGTGTGGTGCACTCCTGTAGTCCCAGCTATTCAGGAGGCTGAGGTGGGAGAAGCGCTTGAGCCTGGGAGGTGGAGGTTGCAGCGAATAGAGGTTGCGCTACTGCACTCCAGCCTGGACGACAGAGTAAGACCATGTCTACCACAGGAGTTGCCATCTCCAGGTGTATAGTGTCACAAAAAAACAATAATTTAAAAAAAAATGAAGTTGCTAATCCAAAATTTTGCATTGCTATTTTCTTCTGTGGTAAGTTAACTTTTTTTTTTTTGAGATGGAGTTTCGCTCTTGTTACCCAGGCTGGAGTGCAATGGCGCGATCTCGGCTCACCACAACCTCCGCCTCCTGGGTTCAGGCAATTCTCTTGCCTCAGCCTCCTGAGTAGCTGGGATTACAGGCACGCGCCACCGTGCCCAGCTAATTTTTTTTGTGTTTTTTTTAGTAGAGATGGGGTTTCACCATGTTGACCAGGATGGTCTTGATATCTTGACCTCGTGATCCACCTGCCTCGGCCTCCCAAAGTGCTGGGATTACAGGCTTGAGCCACTGCGCCCGGCCTGGTAAGTTAATTTTTAAAGGTAGAATTATAACATTATAAAAATCTGTCCAGGCCAGATGCAGTGGCTCACACCTGTAATCCCAGCACTTTGGGAGGCCAAGGTGGGCAGATCATAAGGTCAGGAGTTTGAGATCAGCCTGACCAACATGGTGATACCCTATCTCTACTAAAAATACAAAATTTAGCTGGGCAGTGGGGCCTTCTCGGCTGTACTGGCATGTGCTTGTAGTCCTGTAGTCCAAGCTACTCAGGAGACTGAGGCAAGAGAATGGCTTAAACCTGGGAGGCGGAGGTTGCAGTGATCCGAGATGGCACCACTGCACTCCAGCCTGGGTGACAGAGCAAGACTCCATCTCAAAAAAAAAAAAACCATACACACACACACAAAAATGAAATCTGTCCATTATGACCTTTTTTATAGTATTAGCATGCATTATATTCAATTAATGTCTTGGACCTTAAATCTGGGACCAGCAGTTCTATATTATATGCTCTTAGATCTTTTAGATAGCTATATGACCTTGAGCTTCTCTTAATTAGGCAAAAGAAAAAAAAAAGTTATTCACAGGACACTTGCAGTTATCAAATATTTTGAAGGTACCTTCATCTCTACTTTAAACATCATCAATTATGGGATTTTTCTTTAAAGGGAAAATTATATTTCCAGTTTTGGTTGTGAGTTTCTAATGTCATTGAAAAAGAAACCTAACTAGTGAAAAATCTAGCCTGGGAAATGGGTGGGTCACTTTTTAGAAAGGTACTGTCATGATTTTGAAATGTAAAAACAATCTTCCTCCTTTTGTTTGAGGTAAGGTGATAGAGAAGTATAAGATTGTCCCCTTCAGAGTTACTGAAACTTTCTTTTAAATATTATATCCCTCTATCACACGTGAAACAACTTCTGTAATTTTTAAATAGATATTGTTTTGGGCTCTCAACTCTTATTTTTACCTAAGTTTTGTGTATTAGACAGCCTAAGTTTATTCTGTGATAAGATATATAGATCTTAAGTTTTCTATCAGCACTTCTCCACACATTGGGATGAATTGAAGAGGTTTACTGACCCCTAGTGTGGTCTTCCCAATAATGATTGTGAAGTGATTGGATGCCATCCAGATTCCTTGGTCTTTCTTCATCTTTTCTGGAGCTTCACCTCATTATTTCCCTGTCCTGTCCACCCCAAGTTATGTTCACTGCTAGGTGAAAAGCTCTTGGCATATGGGATATTCTCAAGTGTGTCATCTTGTAGTAAGAAAGCCTTGTCTGCAGCCAGTAAATAGATGGGTTTCCATATATCTGGACCAACTGAACAGCTGCCAGGATGGACTCAAGTGAGCAGAACATGAGTCTAGATGACTACTATTTTATTACTGTAGCCAGTAATTGTGTATTACCAAGTAGTGAGACTGGGAGGGTGGGAATAGAAGAAGCAGTGGGAAGCCTATTGACTTAATTTAAAAGTTTATGGGAGTATATACCCACTACTTATAAGCCTTTCATGCCAATTAAGCTGTGGTGATACAAAAGAATATACTAGGCATTCCCAATCATGATGCATCATCTAGAATTGCTCACTCCGAGCTGGGAGGGAAAAAAAATCAATCAGAATCAGCATTATCAACTCAGTTGCAAGAAGGAATTACAAGACATACGATCGGAAGAGTGTAAATGTAAAAATATCAATTGAATATCCATTGACACTAAGCAAGGTTCTTGGTTTTTGAGCAACACTACTTTTGTGTACTTCCCTGCTTCCCCACCTCGGCCCTCCTCTCCCCATCATACTAGGTACAACCTGGATTTAAACTTAATAATAGTGCTAATCATGAAAGTTTGGAAAAACTGGATCTTTCTTCCCTATACGACTAAATGTATTTATTCCAATTAAAACAGTAAAATGAAAAACTTGATGAAGTTCACAGTTGGAATGCCATGAAGAATTATTCCTTGGGCTGCTTTACAATGGATAGGCCAGTAAGCTGCCACGGCTTTTAAGACTGGGAACCGGGGCACCGAGCTGGGCATTAGGGATCGCGGAAGAAGCCTGGGTGCGGCCGCAGCTCGCGCGGCCCAGGAGGGAAGCGACGCCTCGCCGGGCCCTGCCCCGCCCCGCGCACCTGGCCGCAGTGTGCTGGTGCCGGCGGGCGGTAGCCTCAGCGACGCCATGTGGCGGCCAGGGCGACGCCACGTACCCGGTGTCCGAGTTTTATGTGAGGAGGAAGCGGTTAGACGGGCAGACCCTCAACTTCTTCTTTCCTCTTTTCCTACTTTCCTCCCTTCCTTTCTCCCTCCCCCTCCTTCCTGCCTTTCTACTGAAACCGCACCTAAAATCAAACAGCGGGATAAAATCCTAGCTTCCAGTTTAACACTTTAGGATTCTACACTCTTATTGAAAATGTAAAGAGGGACTAGTAGGAACCATTGTTTCTTGTTTCCTTATTATTACTTAAAAGGTATGTTAGTAAGTAGAAATTATTGTTACAGGTTTATTGTGGCATGTGGATTGCAAATTGAACTTTTAATTATTTTTGCTGAAAAAATTTTGTTTTTCAGCAGTTGGGATTACGATTAGGGATGTGGTACTGGAAAGATGAAACCAGAACTCTTGAATTCAGAAGGTAAATTTTAACAAAACTTTTTTTATATTAGAGTTTTTATAAAATTTTATAAAAATTACATGTGCCCAGGGTAAAAAAAAGAAAAAAAGCAAAACAGAAGCGGATAAATATCCACTGATACCTCACCATCTGGAGACAATAATTTCAGCAAACAGCCTTTCTCTGAACACTTATCAGCTGCTTCATATGGACCAGACACTGCTAATCAGTTTAACCAGCTCTTTGAAACAGCTGCATGTTAATTAGTTTACAGATGAAGAAACTGAAGTTTCAAAGGGTTAAGCTATTTGAGGAAAATTAAGTGACTTGGCCCAATCACACAGCTCAGAGGTAACTAAGATTATTTAAATGTAGGTTTGAAAAAAAAAATTAAATGTAGGTCTGTTTGATTTGCAGAGTCCATGTTTTTAATTACTTTATAAAATTGCTTTTTTGAGTTACAGAAATATAGTTGTACATTAATGGGACCATTTTAGACCTGCTGCAATAGATGGTGAATTTTGCAAGAGAAAATTACTAAATTAGAAAAAACTGATTTTAATCTCTGTTAAGAAGACACTGACTCTTAAAAGTGTATAGCTAAGCTAATAATACTAGACACTATCTGTTGTGCACTGATTATGTGCCAGATATTTGTCTATTTTTCCAATTCTTTTTTTTTCTTTGAGATGGAATTTTGCTCTTGTTGTTCAGGCTGGAGTGCAATGGTGCGATCTTGGCTCACCACAACCTCCACCTCCTGGGTTCAAGCAATTCTCCTGCCTCAGCCTCCCGAGTAGCTGGGATTACAGGCACATGCCACCATGCCTGGATAATTTTTTGTGTTTTTAGTAGAGACAGGGTTTCTCCATGTTGGTCAGGCTGGTCTCAAACTCCTGACCTCGGGTGATCTGTCCGCCTCGGCCTGCCAAAGTGCTGGGATTACAGACAGGCGTGAGTCACTGTGCCTGGCCATATTTTTCCAATTCTTAAAACAACTATGAAAAGTGAACATTAATATCCTCATTTTATAGATGAAAAACAAGGCTCAGGGAGATTAAGCAACTGAACCAAAGTCATACAGCCAGTAAGTAGCAGAACTGATAGTTTGAACCAAGATTTGTCTAATGCCTAAGCCCTTTTCATGTACTCACTGTCTCCCTCAATTAGACAGTAAGCCCTGCAGTGGCAAGAACTGTCTACAGTTGGTCTCTGGAACCATCTACAGAACTTCTTAAGTAGGTACGCAACAAATGTTTATTGAGCATGTTCAAAGAAACTGCTAGATTTAAGCAGAGGTAGAGGCAGGGGACAAATTTGAAGGCCAGTTGTAGGATTACAGATAATTATACAAGTAAGCAATAATGAGAGTTAGAATTAACTCCATGTTGGTAAAGATAGAAAGGCAAAGGACTAAGAAATACTTGAGAGAGAGGATTGACAGGATATTTGGATAGGATTGATAGGATATGGGGATTGGATGTGAAGGGAGAGAGAAAAGCAGGTGTTTAGGTTGGTTCTTAGGTGTCTCTGATTGGGTAATCAGGTGACTGATATTGCCCTTCACCCATATACAGCAGTAAAGTGACAAAACTGGCAGCTGGGTGCAGTGGCTTATGCCTGTAATCTGCCGAGGCAGGCAGATCACCTGAAGTCAGGAGTTCAAGACCAGCCTGACTAACATGGTGAAACCCAGTCACTACTAAAAATACAAAAAAGTTAGCCAGGCGCGGTAGCAGATGCCTGTAATCCCAGCTACTTGGGAGGTTGAGGTGGGAGAATTGCTGGAACCTGGGAGGTGGAGGTTGCAGTGAGCCAAGATCGTGCCACTGCACTCTAGCCTGGGCAACATAAATAAATAAAGTGACAAAACTGACCATGTGTTTCAGGTTGCTATGACTTGTTCACATGGATACATCTTGGGCTGTTGGACAAATGGGGCTGGAAGTCAGGAAAGGAGTTGGCTAAGCAGACATATATAGTTACACTAAATGTTTATAGTTACATTATAAACATGATGACATATTTCATGTTAAATAATTCAAAGGCTTAACATTTTATTAGAGTCAAAATCAAAAGTTTATATTTTATAGAATATTTATTTCAGTATTTCTGAGTAACTGTCACTTCAAAGCAGTAATTTCAGTTTCCCTTTTCAGCTTTGCCATAGAAGATTCTGTCCAGTGGCATCTGAAACATCACCCTCAGTAAGTATGAGATAGACAGTAAGATAGTTTTGGGATTAGACAGACAGGATCATTACAGGAGTCAAAATACATGATAAAGCACAAGAGAATGTGTGTATAAATATGAGTGCCAACTTTTTTTTTTTTTTTTTTTGAGACAGGGTCTCATTCCTGTTTCTCAGGCTAGAGGACAGCGGCATGATCTTGGTTCACTGAAGCCTCGACTTCCCAGGCTTAGGTGATTCTCCCATCTCAGCTTATTTTTTGTATTTTTAGTAGAGGCAGGTTTTCACCATTTTGCCCAGGCTGGTCTTAAACTCCTGGGCCCAGTGATTTGCCCTCCTAAACCTCCCAAAGTGCTGGGATTACAGGCGTGAGCGACTGTACTTGGCCCACCATTTTCCATTCTCAATCTTCACATATATTTAAAGGCCATCTTAGTCCTCTCTTCTGATGATGAGCACTTTGGATCATACTTTTTTTACTTATTGAGTTTCTTTGTAAATGAAGTTAGTTGACAGTATATATATATATTTTTTGAGACAGAGTTTCACTCTTTCTTGCCCAGGCTGGAGTGCAGTCGCATGATCTCGGCTCACTGCAACCTCCGCCTCCTGGGTTCAAGGGATTCTCCTGTCTCAGCCTCTGGTATAGCCGGGATTACAGGTGCCCATCACCACACCCAGCTAATTTTTGTATTTTTAGTAGAGATGGGGTTTCACCATGTTGGCCAGGCTGGTCTTGAACTCCTGACCTCAGGAATCCATCCGCCTTGGCCTCCTAAAGTCCTGGGACTACAGGTGTGAGCCACCGAGCCTGGCCGACAGTATTTTTTTTTTTTGAGACGGAGTTTCACTCGTTACCCAGGCTGGAGTGCAATGGCGCGATCTCAGCTCACTGCAACCTCTGCCTCCTGGGTTCAGGCAATTCTCCTGCCTCAGCCTCCTGAGTAGCTGGGATTACAGGCACGCGCCACCGTGCCCAGCTAATTTTTTGTATTTTTAGTAGAGACGGGGTTTCACCATGTTGACCAGGATGGTCTCGATCTCTTGACCTCGTGATCCACCTGCCTCGGCCTCCCAAAGTGCTGGGATTACAGGCTTGAGCCACCGCGCCCGGCCGCAGTATTTTTTAAACTAATTTTCAGTGTGAATCTGACAACCCACCCCATATGGTGCTATTTTATATTTGAGCCTACTAATGAGTTCACAGATATCAGTTTCATATCTTTCATAAAGTATTCATATTCATAAACTAAAATTCCTTTTGGTTTGTTACCAAATTGTTCTTGAAATATGGCTTGATTTGATTTCCACTAATTTAGGAGAATACCTAGGGAATGGTATGATTTAAAATATAGGTTACATGACATAATACAAAGCATGAGCAAAAGAGGCCAGACACAAAAATGTAAATACTGCATGATTACATTTGTATAAAGTTTTAACAAATAGACAAAAAAAAGAACTTTAATGATATGAGTAAATACAAAATAGTGGTTACCTTTAGGGGGTTATCAACTGGTGGCATTGGGAGACAGTATAAGGAAACCTTCTGAGGTGGTAGAAATGGCCTATGTGTTGATCTGGGTGGTAGTTTTGTGGGTATATACATATTAAAAAATTCATCAAGTTGCACACTTTAAGATTTATGCACTTTATTACACGGAAGTTATAACTAAAACAACAACAACAAAAAACTGCAAACCCCAGACTATGTGGTGTACACAAACTGGGGGGCAGTTAAGGGAGGCGGAAAAGGAATATTACGAACAGATGGGGGTCAGCCAGCCTGTTTTTGGTGGAGCTGCTTTGTGTTTAAGCAACTCAATGTGGTGAGCTTTAGAGTGTCAGGATTACCTTGGGCATCTACCTGCAAAGGTAGAGGAAGGCGGACCCTTGTATATTGTATGTCAGAGTTGGTATTTGGATTCATTGGAAATAGAGGTATTGGTTCCCTGTTAAAAGTCTGAGCATATCCCATCACAAATTTTAAAATGTAGGTTTGACATCAGAGAGGACTCTTGAGCTGGAACATGCTTTTTCTGTCAGAGACAGTGCTACTGGAGACTTAATGTTACTCTAGTTGGTGGTGAAGGGGCAGGGCTGTGGCAGAGGTGGTTGAGAATAGACAGTGGTAGGGATGGAAACTGCAGAGGTAGCAGGCGTGTTCAGTGACTGCTCTCACACCTAGCAGTGCGAGATTGGAGCTAGGCAGAACAGTTATGCAGCAATCCAAGAGGGTGGTGACTAGGACCCAGAGGAGCTCTGGCAGGAGAATGGGAGATAAGCAGGAATGGGGAGAGGCAGTAAGTGTGTGGAGGGGGTAAAGGGTAACAAGATTTTTTTTTTTAATGCATACTACTCAAAGTACTTGCCTGTAGGAACCCCAAGTTAAAAATCCAGTAGGCAGGAATTTGGCCCTTAGGAGAAAGGCAAATGCAAAATTAGATTGGGAAGTGGAATGATTGAGGCCAGAACCCTAAGAAATAGCTACTTTAAAAAATTATGAAATGTTTTTAAAAATCATTCTATTTAACTATTTTCTTGTTTGTCCAAAGAATACTCCTCAGTGGCACTTGCAGCTACAGTGTTTACCCTGAGATAACTTTGCCACAAAATATCTCGCTTTTTAAAAAAATTATTTTCTCTTTGCTCTAGTATATTGACTTTGGAAACAAAAGACATCATTCTGTTTATAGCATTCTGTTTTTAGTGGTATTTCCATTTACAAAACTAGTAATTGTCTATTGCGGAAAATTTCAAATCCTAGAAAACAGCATTCCTACATGTGATGTTAACATCGTTCTCGAACAGTTGGCCTAAGATTCAGCTGATGAATATGATTTTTCCAAAATAGACGATTCTGATGATTAAGACAATTCTGATGTTAGTTCTGTTTAGAAATAACTCTAAGAATAGTTTTATATTGTATTTTCACCTGGAAAATCAGTCAGATTTGCTTCAGCCTCAAAGAGGGTATTTATATAAAATTAAATGGATGCTACCAGCAAACTACACTTTTTTTTTTCTAAACAGGAAAAGGATTAAAAACATCAGTGAGTGCCTGTAGTCTCAGTAAGTCGGAAGGTTGAAGGGGCAGGATTGCTTAAGACTAGGAATTTGAGGTTATAGTGTGCCATGATGACACCTGTGAATAACACAGCCACTGTACTGCAGTCTGAGCAACATAGCAAGACCCCATCTCTTAAAAAAAATTGTAAAATACTAATAAGCAAAAACAAAACACAATCCCACCCAAGCAAGTAACTGTTAACATCTTATGGTATACATATATAGCTTTCCAAATCTTCAAACTTTCCCCTCTCTCTGTCTCTCTCTCTACACACACACCCTTTTTTTTATTTGAGACGGCATCTCACTCTGTCACCCAGGCTGGAGTGTAATGGCACAACCTTGGCTCAGTGTAGCCTCAACCTCCTGGGCTCAAGTGATTCTCCTACCTCAGCCCCCACCACCCACCACACACTGCCTCCCACCCCGCCCCCCAGCAAACAGCTGAAACTACAGGCACATGCCACCATGCCCAGCTAGTTTTTTTGTATTCTTTTTTGGTAGAGATGGGGTTTCTCCATGTTGTCCAGGCTGATCTGGAACTCCTGAGCTCAAGCAATCTGCCTGCCTTAGCCTCCCAACATCCTAGGATTACAGGTGTGAACCACCATTTCTGGCCATGGGGTTTCAAATATATAAAGGTAGGGAAGATGGTGTAATGAACCCCAAAGAACCCATAACACAGCATCAACGAGTACTGAATCAAAGTCAACTTCATATCTATACCTCTTTCTACCCCACTCCTCAATTATTTTGAAGAAAATCCTAGGCATCATGTCATCTGTAAATATTTCAGTATGTATCTTAAAAAATAAGCACTGTCTTAGAAAATACAACTGATGTAGGTAGCTGGGCATGGTGGCACACACTATAATCCTGGCTACTCAGGAGGAGAATCGCTTGGACCCGGGCGACAGCAGTTGCAGTGAGTGGAGATTGCGCCACTGTTCTCAGTTCCTTCATCTATAAAATGCAATAATAATGCCTCGCGAGAAGTTAATGAGGGTGTTGGTATAGTTCATCAGCCTTCATGCCCACTTCTTTCTTATTTGGTAAAGAGAAATACTTTTACTCACAGGCATCATCTAGGTTGGCCCATGAGGCAGGCTTTTCTCTCTGACATAGTACCTGCTGTCTTTTCCTTTCTTGCTTCAGGTAGTCCTGTTCTAAAGCTGGGCAAGAACCAGCAGTCTGTCTGAATCTTTGCAAAGGTCATGGACTCCCCTGAGGATATAAACCCAGGGAAACACTACTCTTTCATCATGGCCTGAGAGAAGACTCTCTGAGAACCGTCAAAGAAATCTAATTGTGTGGAAGCCAAGAATTGTCCAGCCTTCTGCATTTCAGTGATGAATTCTAGAGAGAAAGTATGGATTTCTTTCCTGTTTACTTCAAGGCAAAGGGGAATGACATGATTATATTCTAATATTAGGAAAGTACATCCATCTTGTACTCTGGAGACAGTAGGAGGGTACAGGCTAATTAGCCCAGACTGTGGTTTGAGCACGAATCAGAGGTACAATTCACAGTACAATTTTCAATTATTGGCTGGGCATAGTGGCTCATGCCTGTAATCCCAGCACTTTGGGAGATCGAGGTGGGTGGATCACCTGAGGTCAGGAGTTCGAGACCAGCCTGGCCAACATGGTGAAACCCTATCTCTACCAAAAATACAAAAATTAGCAGGATGTGGTGGCATGCACCTGTAATCCCAACTACACGGGGGGCTGAGGCAGGAGAATTGCTTGAACCCAGGATGAAGAGGTTGCAGTGAGCTGAGATCGTGCCACTCCAGCCTAGGTGACAGAGTGAGACTCAGTTTAAAAAAAAAATCGCGAAAATAAACGAAAAAAAAAATTGTAAACTTGAACCACAAATGAAAAAAAAAATTCGGTTATTACTCATGTTGCTTCTTGGTGATTCCAAACGCATTGTGAGCATAGGCTGCCTTCAGGGCTATGGCAGAGCACTCACACACAAAGTAGAATCTGTCTCACCAGCCAAGCTAGAGAATGACTTCAGTGGGGTGAAAGCCACTCAGACAAGTGTGAAGTAGAGAACGTATGTCCAGAGGTCAGAGCATAAGGATTAAAAGTTTAGCAGTAAATATCAGACTGTTGGCTAAGGGTCTACCCTTAGTTTCTACCTACCAGTTTCTACCACTGGGACATGGGTCAGCCTCTCCAAGCCTTAGTTCTCCATCAGTAAAATGACAGCCTTATTCTAGATAATTTTTTTTATTCCCAATAACCCCAAAATTCTATGATTTTATTTTTTATTTTATTCATTCATTTATTTTTGAGATGCAGTTTCGCTCTTGTTGCCCAGACTGGAGTGCAATGGCGCAATCTCTGCTCACCACAACCTCTGCCTCCCGGGTTCAAGCGGTTCTCCTGCCTCAGCCTCCCTGAGGAAGGAGATCCCCTCTTCCCGAGCTTCTAAGGCCATTTCCCCTTTAGCCTTCTACACTGCATCTCAAAAGGAGAAGTTAAAAGTCAGCCAGAGGAGGGATGGGTAGGTGCTGCCGTCAGGTCTAAAGGATTAAACCCCCTATGCTGACCACAACCCTATCTATAGATCACGGACATGGTACAGAGGAATTTTCCTTGGAAGGCATTGTTCTTGCTCAACTGCTCAGACCCCCACCTAGTCATGTCCCCCACGCTCTTGACTGTCTCACATGTGCACCTCTCAGACTGTAAGCCTTTAAAAGGGCCTCGATTTTCTTTGTCGGGAGAGCTCGATTGTTGAGGCGTCTATGCCGCTGCAACTCCTGGCCGAATACAATTACCACTTCCTTCCCGTTTTTGGTATTCGAGAGGTTTGTTTGCGGCCCCCCTGCTTCATCTTGAGTAGCTGGGATTATAGGCATGCACTACCACGCTCAGCTAATTTTGTATTTTTAGTAGGGATGGGGTTTCTCTTTGTTGGTCAGGCTGATCTCAGATTCTTGACCTCAGGTGATCCGCTCGCCTTGGCCTCCCAAAATTCTGGGATTATAGGCATGAGCCACCGTGCCCGCCCCGCTTTTTAATTTTATTTTTAGACTGGGTCTCACTCTGTCACCCAGGCTGGCTGGAGTGCAGTGGTGTGATCCCAGCTCGCTGCAATCTCCACTTCCTGGGCTCAGGCAATTCTCCCATCCCAGCCTTCCAAGTTGCTGGGAGCACAGGCACGTGCTACTACACCCAACTAAGGTTTTTTAAATTTTTTTTATTTTTAGTAGAGACGGAGTTTCACTATGTTGCCCAGGCTGGTCTCAAACTCCTGGGCTCAAGCCATTTACTGGACTCAGCTTCCTCCCAAAGTGCTGGGATTACAGGTGTGAGCCACCAACCCTGGCCAATTTTATGGTTTTATAGTTCCAAGTTCATCTGACTTAGTTCATAGACTTATCTAGATAAATAAGATAGTCCCAACTGTATCCTTTCAAATTCCTTATTTTAAGGCTTTATTGTCTCAAAACATCTCAGGCAAATGCAAGAAACTTTGAATTATAGGAATGGGGCTGAGAAAACGGGGAGGAGACACAGTTACATTTGACATTAACTTAGATTTAGTGTTTCTATCTTCTCTCATCTTCTAGGGAAGAGAAACAGGAGAGAGCTGGGAACAGCTGGGGCTTCCTTAGTCTGTATATCTCTATCAATGTTTTGAAAAGTTATGCAGGTAATACATTTTTATAAATAATGCAGAAGTATACAGATGTGGAATTGAGATCCTTCATTACCCTCTCTTTCCTTCCTGCCCCCTCTTATCCCCCACCCGTCTCTGGAGGTAGCCACTATCAGCATTTGCCATCTTTCCATTTCTTTTTCCCTGCACACCTCCATCCTCAGTATTTTAGCACACCCTGCCCCACAAATACCCATTTCATGGAGACCAGTGATAAGAGCAGCACCAAAAAGAATGAAAAGCTTAGAAATCATCACTGGCCAACTTGGTGCCAGTTGTCTTAAAAAAAAGAAAACAGTGGGAAAAAAAATCATTCCATTGAGGTAACATTATGTACATGCTTTTAGGAGCTAACCTACAACACAAATATTGCCAGGCAGTTGGAGAGACTCCTGGAAGAAGAAAGTACCAAGCTGATTTTATTATTCCCACAGGGAGGTATTTCTCTAACAAAATTTCTTTGTGGGATTTACCAAGGAGATAATAAAGTTCTCATGATTAATATCCATCTTTAGAGAATGGATAAAGTTGAGGGGAAGTGCTTCTATTACTGCATCTGCCTCTCAGCTTAACAGAGGGACACAGAACTTTGGGCAGAGGGTAAGCTTCTACATTGTGTTATCAATGTGGCATTGTGATAACTCACAATGGATTTGGCAGACACCATGGTTCTCCCAGAAAATGTACTATCTATAAGGCAGGAGCCTTGTCCTGATAGTCTTCAGAAGACTTTTCTTTGTTTTTCTGTTAGCATTTGCTGATACCCCCGAGAGTCTGTGCAACGGTTCTAATTAGAAACCATCTTATTTTCAATGTCATAGCAATTCCTAACACATAGTAGATCGTCAGTATAGATTTGTTATTTAATTGGGTTCCTTTGTTAGTCAGACTCGTTATGGCTTAGTAGTGCTTGTACAACGTGCTAAGAAACTCTGAGTTAAGTAGAAGGTCCTAAAGCCACCTGGAGATCGAGATGGCTGAGGCCCTTAGAAGAGTCCATGGCAGCCAATACTGAGATTGCTATCTGGGAGGCAGGATTGCCGGGTGGCTCAGCACAAGGCTCTGTGGCTAAAAACCTAGGCACCAGTCCTGACTTTGCCAGTTGCTGTTATTTTAGTCAAGTCACTTAATCTCTTTTTAAGTTTCCATTTTTCTTATATGTAAAAATGGTGATAATATTTTGTGTTAGAGTTTCCGTGAGGGTTAAATGAGATTTGTGCCTAAAAGCACATATCATATATATTAAGTACCTCAATAAATAATCTTTCCAAATTTTTCAAGAGCTTTCTGTTTCTTAGGAAGTTACTAAAAGATTTTCAAATGTTCTGTGTGTAGTGGTATTGTGGAGACTGCTGATGGTTAGAGGCGGAAGTTTTAATTTTTTCTCTAGATAAGTGTTCAGTATGTAAATACATGAATTGAACATTGCTATGTCTCAGATTCTCTTCAGCTTCTGCTGATAATATATGCTAGTCCTAAGATTATGAGTTATGATACGATTTGACTTGTTTTCCCCTGGAAGAAGTGAAGTCCCTAATTATCTCATTTTGATTGCAGTTTTACACCTGCAGTAGAACTCAAGGAAAAAGGAAAGAAAGGCAAAGCAGTTCACTTTGCAGAAATCGACAGTCCAGCTCCAGAAAGGTAGATTAGCTTCTCAACCATACCAGAGCTGCTGATAGCCCCTCTCAGTGGAATGGCTTCAGCCTTTACAAACTACGAAAATACCGTTCCTATTATTCTAGGTTGCAATGTGAGTACCTATCAAAGAGAGAACATGCACTGTTTCAGAATTATGGTGGGAATTCCAATAGTCTCAATAAATGTATCCTGTTAACCTGGCTGTCAGCACATCTTCAACTTTTTACAGTTTCTTAAAATTTGAAAATGATAGGTACACCAGAATAGATGATTTAAATGATCTATTTTGGATGATATTTGTATTTAGGTTTTATATCAGGCAGTGAGCGTCCCGCTTGCCTTAACATAGTAAATATAATGTTTAATAAAAAGCATTCTGAAATCATCTTACATCAAACAAAACCCATGTATGACACTCAGGCCCTTATTACTTTTTAATGAATGCTTCTTACATGTCAGGCTAGATTAAATCCAACTAAAATATTTTAAAACACAACACTGCTAGAAACTATTACTTTCCAAAATGGTTGACAGATAAAAGGCTTGCTGCAAGAGAGGATAAGTCAGCTAAAGCTTTAGAGAAACGAGGTCAACAGGGCACCAGTACACTAGATGATGTTAAATGTCAGTAATTGTTTTCTAATCTATACATAAACGTCCATCATCTATACATAACATCCATGCATAAACATATCATGTGTGACTCACAGGCAGCTTTTGTCCTCTCTCAATTGTCCATTTTCTCTTTTCAGTTGTTACTTTGCTTTTGCTACAAGATACTGAGATGCAGCGGATTGGTTCTTTTACATTTATGAAGTATGTATTGCTTGTGAAGCATTTCAGATCTTTTATCCTTTATTTTTCAGTAACTCCATCTGGTAAGTGATGACAAATCTGATTTTTAGAGGAAGAGCGTGAGGCTGGCTCTATGTAAGCCATCCTCTCAGGACCTAGTCACAAACACTGCAACCACAGAGTCAGGAAGAGGAAGCCAGAAGTCATGGGAACCCCAAAGTCCCAGGGCAAGGACTATGGAGAGCATGCAGTCAGAGTCTCACATGGACTGCATTATTTTTACATAATAGTTAAGGGATATGCCCATTTACTGGCCCGGTGTGGCAGCTCATGCCTGTAATCCCAGCACTTTGGGAGGCTGAGGTGGGGAGATCACCTGAGGTCAGGAGTTTGAGACCAGCCTGGCCAACATGGTGAAACCCCCTCCCTACTGAAAATACAAATGGCCAGGTGTGGTGGCTCACGTTTGTAATCCCAGCACTTTGGGAGGCCTATTGAGATTCACTCGGGGTGGTTGGCAAAAATATTACAGAGAATAGTAAAGATATATTAGAGAAAGTTATAGTCTCAAGCCTTTTGGAAGGCCAAAGGGTTTTACTAGGGCAGGTTGAAGGCAGCTGCCTCGTTAACATTAGCATAGGAAAGAGATTAGAGACTGATCAAAAGACCTTACCCCACACCCATTTGTCTCCACTCTGTTTACTCATGTGAATTTGGTGCTGGGTGGTTTCTCCAGGAGGATTAAAGGGGAATTACTTATTAATTGCATTTATTCTGGGCCCCAGAACCAAAAGCTTTTACCAGTTATAAAACCATGTTAATTACCCACAAGTGTGTTAACTTAGAACCTCTATCGTAATGTCTAGGGAATAAATGTGTGGATGAACAGGGAATCTAGGTCGAATGGTTGTATTTTGCCCTCTGAAAGCAGTCAGCGGCCATTCCCTAGCCCATGTGAAACAGCTTAATGGTGTGAGAGTGCATTTATTCATCCGTGGTTGAGTCAGGGTCTGCAGGTCAGACTCCCACGGCAGTGGAACCCACGTCTCAGGTGGTGACCCCAACGTGATCAAAGGCACAAAGTCCAAGGCTGGTGGATCACGAGGTCAGGAGTTCGAGATCAGCTTGGCCAATGTGGTGAAAGCCCATCTCTACTAAAAATACAAAAAGTAGCCGGGTGTGGTGGCACACACCTGTAATCCTCGCTACTCAGGAGGCTGAGGCAGGAGAATTACTTGAACCTGGGAGGTGGAGGTTGCAGTGAGCTGAGATCATGCCACTGCACTCCAACCTAGGCAACAGAGCAAGACTCCATCTCAGGAAGAAAAAAAAAACAAACATTAGCAGGGTGTGGTGGTAGACACCTGTAATCCCAGATATTTGGGAGACTGAGGCAGGAGAACTGCTTGAACCTGAGAGGCAGAGGTTGCAGTGAGCCGAGACTGTGCCACTGCACTCCATCCTGGGCAACAGAGCAAGACTCCTTCTCAAAAAAAAAAAAGGGTTTTACCCATTTACTGAAGATCAATTTTCTCCACTAGTTATGTTTGGCAGCCCTAGGATATGCTAGGTGTGTGACTGTAGTAAGTTTCTTGACCTTTCAAAGCCTGTCTCCTCAGCTACAAAATTGGAAAGTAATTGTGTAATTGTATCCCCTTTGTATGGCTGTGCATGGCTGTGCCTCATGTGGCCCCTACACCGTGAATGCTCAATGAGAGTCGGGTGCCCGATACTACTGGCACCCCTCTCCATTCTCTCAGCACATACATGCAGGCTGTTGTGGCAACTGCCTGAGACTCAGCCTGAAGGCCTCATTCCACCACAGGAGCACGCTCAGCCTGACTGCAGGGCAAGCTCAGAGCTAGGGAGTCAGTGCCCTAAAAGCAGCTCTCACTCAGTGCCCTGCTGGAGGAGTTGGTAGAAAAACTGAGATGTTTTCCACACCGTCTCCCAGAGTCCCCACAGGACTGAACTCCACTTACTTTGCCAACACCCTCTCTGTTGGCTTCCTTTCTTTTCCTGTCTCATTTCCCCACTTTCTTACTGATGTTTCCTGAGATCACTTCCCAACAAAACGATTCACTTTCAAGTCTTTGTCCCAGTGTCTGTTGCAGGGGAACCCAACCTGAGACCAGGAGTTATTAATACCTTGAAAAGAAAATCTGTAATGGTCACCCTCATCCTGCTTTTTAAGGTATAGTTCAAGAAACCAATGCCAGAGAAAGAATTTCCATTTGAGGCCACAAAGAAGGCAGCAAAAGTCTTGAAAAATATTTAGAAGGAAAACAATGACTTCTAGTTAAAAACAAATGAGATAGCATTGTAAATCAGTGTAACCTTTTTGGAGGGTGTGGCATGAACATTTAATATGCACATACACTATGTGCTAGCAATTTCACTTCTGTCTATAATATTTTTAAAAACCTAAATACCCATCAATGGAAGACTACTTAAATGAGGTATAGAATATCCAGCTCTTTAAAACAATGAAGAAAAAATATATATATCATAGAAAGAGGTCTGTGCTACACAGAAAATTGACAAAAGCAAGTTTCTTCTCAGCAAACTGACACAAGAACAGAAAATCAAACACCGAATGTTCTCACCGATGGGTGTTGAACAACGAGAACACATGGACACAGGGAGGGGAGCATCAAACACTGGAATCTGTTGTAGGGGCCAAGGGAGGGACAGCGGGGCAGGGGAGGTTGGGGAGGGATAATATGGGGGAGAAATGCCAGATGTAGGTGACAGGGGGATGGAGGCAGCAAACCACATTGCCATATGTGTACCTATGCAACAGTCCTGCATGATCTGCATATGCACCCCAGAACCTAAATTAAAAATAAAAGCAAGTTGCAAAGAATTGTATATACAATATTACCCCACTTATTACCGAAAAACATTTTTAAGGCATATAGTCATGCACATGTACATATGTTGGTGGAGGAGGATGTTATATGTGATTGTCTATGTTTTATAAAGTTTAGAAAGGATTAATACCAAACTTTTTTTTTTTTTTGAGACAGAGTCTCAGTCTGTCACCAGTCTGGAGTGCAGTGGCTCGATATTGGCTTACTGTAACCTCCACCTCCGGGGTTCAAGCAATTCTCCTGCCTCAGCCTCCCGACTAGCTAGGATTACAGGCATGCATGACCATGCCTGGCTAATTTTAGTATTTTTTAGTAGACACAGAGTTTCACCAGGCAGGAGTTTCACCAGGCAGGTCTCAAACTCCTGACCTCAGGTGATCCACCCGCCTTGGCCTCCCAAAGTGCTGGAATTACAGGTGTAAGCCACTGTGCCTGGCCCAAACCAAACTCTTAATAGTGGTTACCACTAGGGAATAGGATGGTGACAGAGGCAGGAGAAAACTTTTTATTTGATGCATTTCTCTCTATTTTTTAAACAGTGGAAATATATAAGTTTTTAAAAATGAAAAATAAGCACAACTATAAGAATTTAGCATCTGACCTTTCCAAATGTTTTACTTACAAAACCCAGATTTTTAAAATATTTGAAGATATAGTAGATAGAATTTTAATTGGTAAATCAGTTCTTTGATACACATAACATGGTTTTCTACTTATTCTTGAGTTGTGTGCTCATGTATTTTTTGTGAGAAATCTTACCTTTGAAATAGGTTAGCACTGACTCTGTTTCAAATCTCTCCATAGGAATAAGAATCTTGATAATTTCCTCATGGCATTATTGTACTACTTATCTCATTACCTGGAAAAAGACTCCCTAGAAAAGAAACCCAAAAGCTATATGGTGTAAGTAAGATTTTACAGTGTGCTTTAGAGTTGTGTCACTGCCAGTATTAAAAGTAACTTTTGTCTAGGATAAAGAGATGATAGAAATGTTTAAATCTTTGAGATGTACAAAGACATTTTACATGGGAAGAATGTGTTTCTAAAGCTCACTGAATAATTTCTATGTGTATTCCAGTAACAAAATATTCCAACTGATTCAGACTAGCATTGCCCAATAATGAGATAATGAAAGCCATGTATGTAATTTTAAATTTTCTGGTAATGTTTAAAAAATATAAAAAGATACACATGAAATTAATTTGAATACTCTCTTTTATTTAACCCAATGATGCAAATATCATTGCCAACAGTCGTTGATACTAGGAAGTTATTAATGAGATATGTTACTTTTCTGCAGTAAGACTTGAAATCTGGTATCTATTTTATACCTATAATATTCTCAATTCATACTATATACATTCTCAATAGCCACTTGGGGCTAGTGACAACCATCTTGAATAGTGCAGATATAATTGTTGTGTGCTTTTTATGCTTACAAAGCTTTTGCTAAAGGGCTTATAAGCATCCAATTAAAAAAAAACTAAGAATTAAAAAAATTAATAGATTTTGCCAAAATGGCATTCCACATCTCAGGAAAAAATCCCAGCTTTCTTAGGCTACCTCGAAAGAATTTCATTGCTTTAGCTTTAGGCAGAAGTGGCTCAGAGGTGTACACCAGGGCAAGAATCTGGGGACTCAGAGTGCAGAGCCGAACAATGCCTTTCAGCCTTGGTGACATTTTGCAAGCCATGGAACTTTCCCTGTGCCAGGCAGCCCTCCCCAGTACATGTGGAACCAACCCAATGATTTAGCCGTTAGGAATGCTGGGTAGAGTAATTAACTTGTTGCTGCAGGATGTTTTCAAAATGGAAAACCTGTTATACAACCAAGCAGCTGGAAAAACATCTTATGGGTAGAATAAATGCATCTGGATAGCAGTTTTGTAAAGAACCAAATAAATAATTTAAAAACTCTTATTCCTGTAAAGCCATCATAATATGCAACATCAATGTTATTTTGGGGCTGTATTGCACAACAGGGAAGCCAGAGCATGAAATGTTTCTACGGTAGCAAGCAAAAGGGTTTAAAGCCAGCTATGGACTTAGAAGGTTTGAAGATTTTTACTATTCCCAAATAGAAACTTTAGACTTTTTTGGCACTTTGGGTTATTATATTTTTTATAGTATTTCCTCTTCTGAGGCTTATTGCTAATCTAGCAAAAAAAAAAATTTTTTTTTTTTTGAGATGGAGTCTCGCTCTGTCACCCAGGCTGGGGTGCAGTGGTAAAATCTCGGCTCACTGCAGCCTCTACCTCCTGGGTTCAAGCGATTCTTCCACCTCAGCCTCCTGAGTAGCTGGGATTACAGGCGCCCACCACCATGCCTGGCTAATTTTTGTATTTTTAGTAGAGATCGGGTTTCACTATGTTGGCCAGGCTGGTCTCCAACTCATGACCTCAGGTGATCACCTGCCCCAGCCTCCCAAAGTGTTGGGATTACAGATGTGAGCCACCACGCCTGGCCTGCTTTCTTAATTGATAAGAATAGATAATGAGACAGGTTTTCTAGTTAAAGATGCACTAAACACAGTGGTATAAGGTCGACTGTTCCTTAGAAGGAATCAGTTACTCAGACTGACAAAAACCAATCGAAGTCTTAAAAGTATGGATTTTCTGGTGTGATTCTAAAAAACAAATCACGAGTCTTTATTTTCAGGTTTCCTATGGTCTGTTGGTTTACTTACTATAATAGATTTAAATATTGATTGCATTGAGGTGTCTGCACAGAATAAAAAACTGATTTCAAATACTAAGATATAGCATAGGGATAATAATAGCACTTAATTCACAGAGTTATTATACAGAAGTAGACGAGACAGTGTATATTATCTTACCCCAGTTCATGGGACTTGGGCGGAAAGACTACAGCCATGGGAGAACAGAAAAAGGTGAAGAAGAATGGCAAAGGTACACTTAGATGATGTCAGATGATTACCCTGCTTTCCGAAGCAGCAGTCTTGTTCCCATTTTACAGGTGAAGAAATTAAGGCTCAGTGATGTTAGTTTGTTGGAGATCACATACCATACCTAGGGGATGTCGTTACAGTTCCTAGGTGGAACTGATACTAGAACGCAGATCTGTTTCACTCCAAAGTTTGTGCTTAAACCACTGTACAACATGCCCAGCACTTCCTATCTGTCAACTGCACTGTTTTCCAGAGTTTATCTGTCTGTAATTAGAATGTTTAGCTTCTGAACAATTATGTATGTACTTGTTTTGTTTTGTTTTGTTTTGTTTTTTGAGACGGAGTCTTGCTCTGTCGTCCAGGCTGGAGTGCAGTGGCACAATCTCCACTCACTGCAACCTCTGCCTCTCTGGTTCAAGCGATTCTCCTGCCTCGGTCTCCTGAGTAGCTGGCACTGCAGGTGCCTGCCACCATGCCTGGCTAATTTTTTGTGTTTTTAGTAGAGATGGGGTTTCACCATGTTTGCCAGGCTGACGTTGAACTCCTGACCTTAGGTGATCCACCTGCCTCAGCCTTGCAAAGTGCGGGGATTATAGGCATGAGCCACCTTGCCTGGCCTGTATTTACTTTTAAACATAATATCATAAGTACTTTCAAGTTATTATAATCTTCATAATTATAATTTTTAATGGTAGCATAGTTTTCCATCAAGCCAATGTGTGTGACTTGACTTACCTACTAAGAGGCAGTATACTGTAGTGGTTAAGGGTACAGATTTTGATGCCTGGGTTACATTTCATGGGAGACTCACTCATATGTTAGGTTAATAAACCTCAAGTCCTTAAACAATACCTGACTGTAGTCTTTATCCTTTACTCACTTTATCCTTCTGTATTAGCCTGTTCTCATGCTTCTAATAAAGACATACTGGGTAATTTATAAAGGAAAGAGGTTAATTGACTCACAGTTCCACATGGCTGGGGAGGCCTCACAATCATGGCAGAAGGTAAATGAGCAGCAAAAGCATGTCTTACATGGCAGCAGGCAAGATAGCATGTGCAGGGGAATGTCCCTTTATAAAACCATCAGATCTGATGAGACTTATTCACTATCATGAGGACAGTACAGGAAAGACCCACCACCATGATTCAATTACCTCCCACCGGCTCCCTCCCATGACACATGGGAATTATGGGAGCTACAATTTAAGATGATATTTGGGTGGGGACACGGCCAAACCATATCACCTTCTATTTTATATATTTTGGCAGTTTCTAGCTTTTCTGATATATAAATAATGATTGAATTGAATGGCCTCATGCATAAAAATTTCCTCCTAATTTTGGGTGATTTTAAAAAAATAATATATTTCCAGGAGAGATTATATTAGATCAAAATTTATGATAATTTCTATGGCTTTTGAAATTATTTTCAGTTTTTTTTCCCCAAAAGATTATGCCAATTTTCTGTTACAAGCAATGCATAAGTACATCCGTTTCAACAAAATTTTGTCAACATTATTGTTTGCATTTTTAAAGAATGTGCTTTAAAAATGAACCACTATCTGGGTTTGTATTTAAGGCAGTTTTTCAAAATTAGATGAAAACAGCATGGGGGAATGGTTTCCAGACATGGAAGTGTGGTGCAAGCAGGCCACCTCTGCCTGGATTTTTGTATATAGGTTAGCTGTCCTTGAGTATTTTTTTTTCGTAGCTTTTTCCTTTTTATTCCATTTCAACACATCAGTCCTTTATATATACATGCAAATGTGGTCTAAGGCCTTGGAATCATTTGGGAAGATTGTTTTAAATTTTCTAGGCAAGACCTAGACTACTGAACCAGAATCTTGGAGAGAGGGTTGCACTGGGAGTTTGCGCTTTTAGCAAGCATCCCTAGTGATACTTTCATAATTCATAGGTTTATTAAAACTTGAGAAGCATTGGCCTAAAACCTTCAAGCATTTCTTGGTGGTTGTAGTTTGGTTTGGTTGTTTTCTACAGCAAAAGAAGAATATTAGCTACTGGCAGCTCTGGCAGAGTAGGGTGACAAGTACGAGTAGGGCTGCTGAAGGAAACAGGCACAGGGATGTGGTCACTGGGGTGTGTTTGGGTTATATGGCATGTGGGCACTTAACGTTGGAGCCCACTTTATTCCAGAAACTCATTTTATACCTTTTCATCACATGGGATAATATTTTCTGTTTTGAAATGTTTATATTATCCTTAAATACAACCCCCTCCCCTCATGGCATATCTTCATGGAGTCAGTCTAATGGTTAACTCAGAAGGGGCAGTCATTTGTCCCTGTTTAGAGTAAATATCACTTGGTGTCTAGTGACACCTCACTTTTTAATAATAGTACATTGGAATGTATCATCAGCAGTATTGTTTCCTACTGTACCGTATGGCAGAAACTTAAATTTTGGCTTGCTGTAACCTAAGAACAGGTTGTCTTTGTGAAAGTTCACTTGCAATTCAATTGGAACTGCAGCTGGTTTCACAGGGAAGCAGTGTTATTGTAATTGATGCCAAAGTTCCCAGAGTAGTTGTCCACAGATGCCTCCTTAGCAAACACAGCTATACTTTGAGCTGAGAATCAGTCCTTGTTCACACATTGAGCCCCCAAGCTCAGTAATGACATAGGGAACACAGGGGAAGCTGAGGTACATAGTCTCCGTGGTTATTTTAGGAAAATAGCAGGAAAGTAGGCTGCTAGCCACCTCAGCAACCAGTATAGATAATTTGTTAGTTGAGCTGTTCTTTATAAATTAGGACTACCTGGATATAAAATTGAGGCTACATAGCATAAAGTATAATCTATAATAAAATCAAAAATAGGCTGGGCTTGGTGGTTCACACCTGTAATCCCAGCACTTTGGAAGGCTAAGGTGGGTGGATCACTTGAGGTCAGGAGTTTGAGACCAGCCTGGCCAACATGATGAAACCCATCTCTACTAAAAATACAAAAATTAGCTGGACATGGTGGCATGCACCTATAATCCCAGCTACATGGGAGGCTGAGTCAGGAGAACTGCTTGAACCCAGGAGGCAGAGGTTGCAGTGAGCCGAGATTGTGCCACTGCACTCCAGCCTGGGTGACACAGCAAGACTCTGTCTGAAAAAAAAAGTAAATGAAGTGAAAATCCACCATAAACTTGAGATGCTGATTCCAATGATTAAATATGAAGGGACTCTAAGGATTTTCCTATACCACTGCTTAAATAAAATAAATTCATTGGTAAGTAAAGTTTGTCGACACACTCATTCTTTCAAAATAGTTTATGGCTGGGCACGCTGGCTCACGCCTGTCATTCCAACACTTTGGGAGGTCAAGGGGAAGATTACTTGAGTCCATAAGTTCAAGATCAGCCTGAACAAAATAGTGAGACCTTGCCTCTACACAAAATAAAAAATTAGCCAGACATGGTGGTGTGTGTCTATAGTCTAAGCTACTTAGGAGGCTGAGGCAGGAGGATTGCTTGAGTCCAGGAGGTTGAGGTTGCAGTGAGCTATGATCACACCACTGCACTCCAGCCTGGGTAGCAGAGCAAGACCCTGTCTTAAAAGATAAAAAAAAGTTTGTAATTCTGACTTTTTGCTAGTTAATATAAGTGTTTGTGAAAATTAACCCAAATTCTCTTTTTAAAAATTTTCCCCTCAGAGGCCTTGTAGAGAAAAAAGAAATGGAATTGGTTTTAAGTAAATTAGAAGCAGCACAGAAGTACTTGGTGCAGAAGTACTGTAACCTTGTGCTGGGCTTGGCCATGCCGGATAAGCATCACATGTGCTGTGGAAAGTAAGCACGTGCTTACAGTTCATTAGATCATCACTCATCATAGACACACATCCTTAAGATGCTTCCATTTGACTTTTGTTACCTTGAGAAAATGTTCCTTTTTCTGTTGTCCAGAGTAATTGGGCTCAGGTGAGAATCTGTCCCAAACACTTATGATGTCTCCTTTGAAAGAGCCAAGTGTGTATGGAAGAAATCTCAGAATCTCAGCTGATATTTTAAAAACTTTCCACTGCTTGGGATTAAATGATGTGGTCCCTCAGTGAAATCTTGCTCTTAGCAAGGAAGGGCTCTTGCTGCCAGACCAGGGCCACTTGTTTGGGCAGGAGGCCCTGTGGGACCGGTGGTGCAGGGGATTAGGTGTGTCCCTACCCTTTCACTGCTTATTCTGCAGCAGCAACAACTGTGAGTAGGAGCTGCTGAAGTGTGGATTCTAAGATGGTTCTTTGTGGGAAGATCATTTTTACCTTAGGATGATAATTTTTACACCACTGTAATTAAAACGGAAAGAGGAGTCTCATCACAGGAAAGTCTGGGATCACAGGGTGGAAAGTGTCAACCCTTAACTCAGAATCTCCTCTGGGTTTTGCAACAGGTCCAAGATCTACACTGTGGTCATAGCCAGAACATTTCCCCCTACCAAGTAGGAAGATAATTTTTCCCCCATAGGAGAAGAACCTAGTACATGATGTGTCTCTTTCTATATTCTCCACATTTTCAAAGACCAACTTTGTCAATGACCATACTTAAACAGTTGTTGGTATATACATTTTTGTATTCTGCATTTCCTGGGTACTTTCTCTTATTATTCTGATTATATAATTTCACTTACCACTTTGAATAGGATTCTGTTAACCATTCTTTTTGTGTACATTTGCATAGTTTTAGTTTTTGTGTGTTATAATATTTCTGCATTGAATATTTTTATACAAGCTGCTTTGTTCATTTGGGCTGTTTCCTTATGGATTATTTTCCACAGTATATTTACCCAGAAGTCCACAAACAGTTTTGTAGCTCTTGATACATACTGCTGGTTGTTCTCTAAAAAGGTTAAGACATTTTGTATTACCATCAGAAGCATATCTGGTTACGTTAGGTTTTATTACTTTAATATTCTTGATAGTTTAAAGCTGTATAAAAAGCTTAAAGATGTTTATTTGACTATCTTTTATGATGGTGAAGGCTGTGCCCTTTCTGTGTAAAATAATTTGCTGCCTGCCTGTTCATTTAGTTTTAACCATCTAACGAATGGAAACTGGGAATTTGTATAAGTATATATATTTTTTGAGACAGGGTCTTGCTCTGTGGCCCAGGCTAGAGTGCAGTGATGTGGTGTGATCTCAGCTCACTGCAGCCTCTGCATTGGGCTCAGGTGATCCTGTCACATCGGCCTCCTGAGTAGCTGAGACTACAGATGTGTACCACCATTCCCAGCTAATTTTTCTATTTTTAGTAGAGATGAGGTTTCTTCATGTTGCCCAGGCTGGTTTCAAACTTCTGGGCTCAAGCAATTTGCCCACCTTGGCCTCTTGAAATGCTGTGATTACAGGCATGAGTCTGTGCTTAGCCAAGGCTTTGTAAGATTTAAAGATATGTATCCAATACTAAGGATACAATACTAAGTATCCAATACTAAGGATGGCCCCGACTCAGCTAACTGCAACCTCTGTCTCCCAGGTTCCAGCGATTCTCCTGCCTCAGCTTCTTGAGTAGCTGAGACTGCAGGTGCATGCCACCAAGCTCAACTATTTTTTTTGTGTGTGTATTTTTAGTAGAAACAGGGTTTCACTATATTGGCCAGGATTCTCTTGACCCCATGATCTGCCCACCTTGGCCTCCCAAAGTGTTGGGATTACAGGCATGAGCCACTGTGCCTGACCTATCCATGTTTTAATGTCTTTCATTTGAGCTTAGATTTTTACCCATCCATATAATGAACTTTACAAATATCAGAAGTGGTTGCAATTGTTTTTTTCTTTTTTCACTTTTTCTGGATGTTCAAATCTTTTCCGCCTACCTACAAAAAGAAAAGGTAGGACAGAGACTGTATTTGGCTAATTCTCATTTGGTGAATTCATTCTTTTTTTTTTTTTTTTTTTTGAGATGACTCACTGTGTCGCTCGGGTTGAAGTGCAGTGGCATTATCTCCACTCACTGGAACCTCTGCCTCCTGGCAGAGTACATGTCTCAGCCTCCTGAGTAGCTGGGATTACAGGTACACACCACCACACCCAGCTACTTTTTGTATTTTTAGTAGAGACGGGGTTTCACCATATTAGTTAGGCTGGTCTCAAACTCCTGACCTCAGGTGATCTACTCGCCTTGGCCTCCCAAAGTCCTGGGATTACAGGTGTGAGCCACCATGTAATACATTCATTCTTTAGTTGGGTAGATTTTTTCCAAGTTACCCAGGGTCTGAGGGGCACAGGCATATGTCCTCTTCTTTCTTCTTGGCTAGTCATAAGGATCTATATTAACTTATAAAGTTAAAAACAGATATACATAAGAAGTTTCTCTCCAATGGAACTTGATATTTATTGACGTATGCATCAATATACGTTCAGTTCAGGCTCATTTTTGTTGTTTTTTGTTTGTATCCTGGCCTTCTTGGCCATTTCTCTTCTCTTGCACTCCTGTTTCTATGGTGGATATCCTTGATCCACTTCCGAGGCCCACCATCTCTGATTCAATTCACTGTGTGTGTGATTTTTCATGATTTGGGAATAAATTCCTAATATGTATCCCTGACAACATCCATTCTTTATTCTACTACATCCATTCTGCAGCTTTCCAGTTTTTGCTGCTATGTGAAGTTCTTTTATGGAGATGAAAAGTTTGGCTTTTTTCCAGCATGGGACCATGAAAATGTGGCACTCGGAGCAGAACTGAGCAGTGGCCCCAGCTGTTGCACCTGAATCCACCACCAGGCTTGCACCAAGGCCGCATGTTTCAGCCTGTTTGGGTTGCTATAGCAAAATATTATAGACAGGGTGGCTTATAAACAACAGAAATGTATTTCTCACAGTTCTACAGGCTGCAAGTCTAAGAGCAGGATATCAGCATGGTCAAGCTCTGGTGAGGGCCCTCTTCTAGGTTGCAGACTACCACCTTGTCATTGTATCTTTACATGGCAGAAAGAGGGTCACAGAGCTTTCTGGGGTCTCTTTTCTAGAACACTAATTCATACATAAGGGCTCTATGTTCATGACTTAATTACTTCCAAAGGCCTCACATCCTGATCCCATCACACTAGGAGTCAGGATTTCAGCATATGAATTTTGGGGGAACACAAATACTCAGCCAATTGTGCCATGCTTCCCACAGGCTGTCTCCTGCCAGTGTCTGAGTGCAGCAGGCCCGTTCCTTCCAGTTGCAGGACTTCTCTGACTTCAGCTTTAGGACTCCCCTTTGGGCTAGTCAGAACTTTCCTAGAGCTGTGCCACTGTCTTGAGTTTCTTCCTACCCAGACCCTTCTGCCTTTCCTCTCTCACAGGGTCAGATATACATTGAGGTGTGACAGCTCTCCTTACCTTCTCCAGTTCTCTCCTCATTTTCTGTCACCATCATTTTCTCCAATAAATCTCATCTTTCTCCAATAAATCTCATGTCTAGTCCTGTCTTGGCATCTGCTTCTGAGAACATATCCAACATAGCATTTTTAAGTTTTGCTGCCATGATTACTTTTTGTATCTTCTTCTTATTTATTTATTTATTTATTTATTTTTGCGATGGAATTTCACTCTTGTTACCCAGGCTGGAGTGCAATGGCGCCATCTTGGCTCACCGCAACCTCTGCGTCCCAGGTTCAAGCGATTCTCCTGCCTCAGCCTCCCAAGTAGCTGGGATTACAAGCACCCTTTATCATGCCTGGCTAAGTTTTTGTATTTAATAAAGGTGGGGTTTCTCCATGTTAGGCTGTTCTTGAACTCCTGACCTCAGGTGATCCACTTGCCTCAGCCTCCCAAAGTGCTGGGATTACAGGCATGTGCCACCACACCTGGTATTTTTTATGTCCTTTAAAAGTACAGTCAGTCCTCTTCTTTTATGCATTCACCTTTCTACAACCTGTTCTTTCTTACAGTAATGCTCCAAAACCAGTGTTTTTCAAAGTATAAGTTACAACATATTAATGGATCTTGAAATTAATTTAGTAAGTCTTGAAGAGAATAGTCTAGAACTTTTTAAAAATCAGAATATATTATACAAAGTAAAAGTAAGTATTGTTTTAGAAGACTTTTGTTTTGGTGTATACTGGGAACTCTATTAAATATATTTCTTTCTGTGGGTTACAGTACAAATTTTTTGAAAGCCACTACATTACAGCATCCTTTATATCACATTCACATTTATGTTTTCATAAGAATTAATGCCTTTGATCAAATTTTTCAAACTTTTCAAGCCATTACATCATCTATCAGCCAATACTAGTTCAGTTTATAGAGTTGTATTAACTTGTTGGGCCACCTGAATATATTATTGAATTTTTCCTTTACTTTAGAAAAAAAGTGGAAAATTGGAAAATCTAGCATCTCATAATACTGTTAATTCAAATCTAGAAACCATGAGACATCTATGGAGAATCTTTAGCTGTAGTAAAAAATGCTCACGAGTGGCACATTGGATAGAAAAGCAAGATCCAATGGCATGCTGTCTTCAAGAAACCCATCTCACACATAATGACTCTCATAGGCTCAAAACAAAGGGATGGAGAAAAATACACTAAGCAAATGGAAAACAGAAAAAAAGCAGGAGTTGCAGTCCTAATTTCAGACAAAACATTTGAAAATAACAAAAAAAACCCAAAAAACAAAAAACAAGGAAGAGTAAAGGGTTCAATTACACAGGAGCACCTGAATTCATAAAGCAGGTTCTTAGAGACCTAGAAAAAGACAGACTCCCACAAAATAACAGTGGGAGACTTTAATACCTACTGATAGTATTAGACAGATCATCGAAGCAGAAAATTAACAAAGATATTCAGGATCTAAACTCAGCATTTGGAC